TGACTGGCGGAGATTTTCCAGTTGCTGTGCGCTCAGTCTAGGCAGCTCCCACTGCGCCGGGACCTGCTGTCGCAGGGGGTGGGGTCGGTTTTCCACCCGCACCCAGAGCGCCTGGCACTATGGGCTTGGCCCCTGAGTGGTTCAAACTGTCAGCTGTGGGGCTCCCACAGCGGGTGATTTCCACAATACAGAGCGCTCGAGCCTCTTCCACCAGATCTCTATATGACTAAGTGGAGAGTGTTCGAGAATTGGTGTCACAGGAATGGCAACATTCCTTTTCAGTGTCCGGTGGGGGTGATATTGTCATTCCTGCAAGACCTGATTGACAACCGGAAGGCCCTCTCCACGGTTAAAGTGTACTTGGCGGCTATTTCCGTGTGCCATGTGGGGTTTGGTAAACAAACCGCGAGCCAACACCCACTGGTTTGTCGGTTTATGAAGGGAGTTCGCAGGCTTCTCCCCGTGTCCAGACCACTGGTGCCACCATGGGACCTGGCTGTGGTTCTGGAGGGGCTCGAGGGTCCTCCTTTTGAACCACTGGAAAAGGCGGACCTAAAGCACGTGTCCCTCAAAACAGTGTGGTTGTTGGCTCTGGCCTCGGCTAAACGAGTCAGTGACATTCATGCACTTTCAGTGCATCCATCATGCACTCAGCTTTTCCCAGGGGATGTGAGGATGATTTTGAAGCCCAATCCGGCTTTTGTGCCGAAGGTGGTTGGCTCATTTTCTCCTATTGACCTTGCGGCCTTCGCTGCCTCGTCAGGGGTGCAGCGACCGCATGTGTTATGTTCAGTTCGTGCTGTGCGTGCTTACATGGATAAAACAGGGAGCTTCAGGAGGAGCGATCAGCTGTTTGTCTCCTGGGCTGATCCCCATAAGGGGAAGTCTATCACGAAGCAACATCTGTCCCACTGGGTGGTGGAGGCGATTGTTTCTGCTTACTCGAGTCAGGGTTTGCAGCCTCCCGGAGGCCTGCGTGCGCACTCGACTCAGGGTATGGCTGCATCCTGGGCCTTGTTCAGGGGGGTTTCTGTTCAGGACATTTGTGCAGCGGCGAGCTGGTCCTTGCCACTCACTCACGTCCGCAGGGGGTATTTATGGCAGGTGGCACTACCTGACGCGGACAAACACGTTCACCAGCCAATCAGGATTGGCGTAATGAGATAAGTGCTTCTGAGGGCTGCAGCGGGGGCGTGCATCCCATAGTGAGACATCTCACTCATATTACTCAGAGAACCGGGGTTATGTGAATAACCTTAAGTTTTGTGAGGTCACAGTGACCTTGACCTTTGACCACCAAATTCTAACGCAATGAAATATGAAATTCCCTAAAGGCGTTCCTGAGATATTACGTTCACAAGACAGAGAGATGGATGGACAAGCTGAAAACATTTCATCTCTGGCCACAGCTGGAGGCATTATGTAAACATAACCAGCAGTGACATCACATCATTATGCATGATAATGGTTGTTGCTAATGGCAATGTTAACATTTATTGTTGTTTTGTATAGCTGAGGATAACTTTCTACAGCTTTAAGTTGTTGGCATGACACCGAGGACCATGGGTTTGAACAATTGTTGTTTCCATGGTTACAGTGTATTACATAAAGCAATGTTTCTTCCTCTGACTGAACAATGTTGCAGTGACCTGAAACAAGTAACACTGGCAAACAACCCCTTGACAGCAAGCTAACAATGTGAACGTGTATGAGAGTGAACAGAGATGTAAACTGAGTGTATGTGTTCAGACTAATGCGGCTGATGAGAAATCTCCCAGAACCCACCTGGTGGTAAAAACCTGCTTGAGCCATCGGATCAGGCTGAGCCCACCTGTACCCGGCATGTGGCCATGATGTAAACGTCTCCCTCCTGTTAGCTTCACTGTACATCAGGGATCTGCAGAGAGCAACATATTTTAGAGACATGCCCAGTTTCCTGTTCACTGGTGACGGAGGTGTCACTGCACCTCTTCTATAGTCATATGCATCATAGATCACGCACCAATTTGACATCAAGAATCACAATCCATGAGGAAATCATTTTAAATACAGCCTGTAAAGGAAACACTGAACAGCTCATTTAGATTAGACTCTCTATGGCCTGACAACTTTCACTGTTTATTTTGCATCACATTAACGTCAGTGACAAAGTTGATACAGCATAATTTACTCATATAGGCACACTCATCAATAATTTGAGACAATCTTCAGGGTTTGTGGGCAGTTGCCTACTGTAAGGCCAGGAACACTATGGGTGTGTCACAGCTGTGGAATGTCTTGGTTTTCATTTTGGCGCCCATGTTAACAGGTTAGAGCAAAACACTGCCTGCACCTCACACCTCATAGCTGCATCACATGATCTAGTCATTTGCCCTCACCTATTTTTCACACCTGATACGTCTCCCAGCAGAAACAGACAAAATGGGGACAAAAGACCTGTTGATGTCATATTCACATCATAGAAACAACATCACATAAAACTGACACATTCCACTATACTTTCTATGTCTAGGTTGAATCTGAATATGACACATACATGAAAAAATATAAATATATTAACCATTTCAGCAGCTGCATGTGGAGAAAATGAATTTTTATGACGTTTTCTGTCAAAAATAAATCAGAAATTAATTCATTATGAAAAGAAATCCAACCCTCCAGTAATCTGCAAACTCTAGAGAGATAGAGTTGCAGCAGCAGAGACACAGCCAGTGTGAACACACACACGTGCTTCTCCGCAGTAGTTCAGAGACATAAGGCCGCCACGCTGACACAACACAGGCAGTGTGTCCCAGGCATAAGTGTGGAAGAGGCAAGAGTGGTGAGATGTAGTCTCTTGTAAAACAAACCACCACAAACTCAACCACGGTCTCACAGTTGAAGAACCTTTAACTCCTGAACAAGAATTCTGATGTTTCAAAATTCAGTTGTTGACTTTCTGTGTTTTGTGTACTGCTCGCTCACCTGTCCACAGAGCGCCCAGGGCCCACCCCAAGCTCAGGCCTGGCACTTGACAAGAGGTAGGAGAGCCTGTCCATGATGGATGAGGCCACAGACAAGGCAGCTACGTTCTGGTTGATTTTCTTTAACTCACTGACAATGGTGCTGGCCACTAGCTTCAGCACATGGTGGGGGAGATGGAAGGTCACTGTCGCCCACTGAGGGAAAGGAGGAGAGGCAAAGGGTCAGAGAAGAGAAAGAGATACAACCATACATCACATTTTCTTAAGCAGACACTTGTGTGTGTTTATTTCAGCGCATGATGACAGATTAATGTTATTACATAGCAATGCAGCAACAAGAACAACAGGCAAATCTCAGACCTCAGAATACCTTTCACTCTAGCAAGTCTCTGAAAACTAGTCCACAGCTACATCACCACATAAATGTTACGTCACTTTGACTTGAGATTTTCAGGTTCATCCACTTGAAGGCTCAGTTTAGGCTGAGAAAATGAAAATGCTGGTTTAGTGTGGACACAAAGGCCAAAGGTGCAAAACAAAGAGACATTGACTTGGTGTGGACAGTCTAGAAAGTTCAGAATTGAGTACAGTGAGTCAACATGTTGAATTGCCAAAATATTGTGCCTAATTGACAGGAAATACACAAACACATTAATAAAGTATTTGGTGTACACATTCCTTTTAGGTGTGATGCTGTACACATAGGGGACATCCCATTTGAAGGGTGGATTACAAATGATAAGAAACTGATAAGAATACTTCTGGTAGCAGGTGAAAAGGCTAAAACCAGAGCCGCCCTCTGTTGATGAATGAATAGGAATAAGAAAAGAAATCTATATCATGGAAAGGCTTTAATTTTCCCTCAAGCTCCAAAAAGAAAAAAAGCTCGCAATATGTGTATTTTGGTTTATTTCTCATTTCTGGTTCATTTTGATTCACAGCTTTTCTTAATTTGTCTTTGTGAAAAATGTTTTGGGGCAGGGATTCTCTCCTCTGCTCTTCTATTGGTAAATGTCCAGTAATATAAGTGACCACAAAACTTAGCATGTCGAACTAGCTGAGCATACAAAAAGCAAACAGAAGAAAATAGAAGAACTAGAAAGTGCATTTCCTGAACTAAATTGTGATCACTGAAAGCTCCTGCAGCTTCCCTTTAGCTGCTGAAACTTCCAAGCTGGGAATCAACCTAGGAACCTATAGCTCACTATAATGGAGCCTTAAAAGTAGAACAGTTATCCATTGAGCCATCAACAGGGACTACTATAGAATCCTAACTTCACAATTTGGTTAGAGCTTGAGCAGCTGAGAATAAGAATATGCAGCATGTTTAAGAGTAGAAAGTCAGTTTCTGCTGCAGTGAATTGACTGTGGGTGACCTATCAGGTAAGATTTTAATTTCAAATTGCGTTACATGTTTTAATTGTGACAGAAGGTGTGTGGTTACATTTTTATTGGTGTTTGTAAAAAAATTTAAAAAATTTAAAAAATTTAAAAATTTAAAAAATGCAGTAATTTTAGTGCAGTTTAAACTGTACTGCAGTGAAGTGTTATAGGATTTCTTGATTCATTGATTTTATTTTAGTTGCAATCACAGTATGTTATGTTTGAATGTACAGGCTGCACGTTATGTGTAGTGTTTTCCATTTTGTAGTGTTTCTATAAATTATATACATTTTTATATAATATTTTGATAAAATACAGAATATTTATTTTAATAACTATGATAAACATTAGTTGAGACAATAACATTATTTAATGTTCTACACACACACAGTGGTCTCAGACTTTTAGACCCCACTGAGTAGAAGATGTGAAAATTGTTTCTTTTTTCCTGCTGCGTGTAAACTGGCTCCCTAGATGCCATTTTGTTTATAATTTTGAAAATAAATGCTAATTTGCTAAGTCGCACTTAACAAAATGCTTGTTTGTGTCAGCAGGGTTGTGCAGAGTTGTAGTGTAATAGATTCACATTGTGATAATCAAATGTTCAGCATTATGGGCCACAGTGAAATCACTGCTGATGCTCTTTAGAATCCCTGCCCACTGAACATTTGTCCTATTACCATAATCACCAAACTCATAAAGACAAACTGAACAAAACCACAAAGACACACAAAGAAACTGTTAAACACACAACTGCAATACAGTGACTCACCAACAAGAATTCAGACCATACAGGCTGTGATTTTAGATGATGATCACTTGTCTTTGCATTTTCAAACTGTAGCTACGTGTCATATTATTTGAATGAGAGTCATTCTGGGTTGTGGTTTATGTTGCTGGTTTGTGTTTCAGTAAATAAAACAACATTAACCCTTTAGTATTCAGACTGTAATTAGACTTCATTAAAGGAATGACACTGCAGTTATAAAAGGTTCATAGTTCATAATAAACATAAACAAGTCAAATACCAAACTGATCCTCCCGGATCACTGCTAGCATGCTCTGGACAACTATCAGTGGTGCGTGATGTGAAAGTGTTAGGCAGCAGCTACATGGTGGGGGAGTTTATTACATGTATACTGTATATATTACAGCTCTTAGAGAAGTCAGCAGGAAAAGTACAAATGAAACCCATCAACCAGTACACAGGGTGACTGTTGGGGGGGCATCTGGGACAGCACCAAGGACAACGCAATGGAGAGCTAGCAGTAGTAGCACAAGCTTGGTGTTGCAGTGAACTACTACCAGCAGAACTAGATGTAGGAAGGTTTCACTGAACAGCTCACTGACGTGTGTTAGTGGTGTAAAACAAAGCACTGCCTGCTGATTGGCTGATCTTTCCCAACAACCAGTGGAGCCAGGACTACACTGACACACTGTAAACACACAGTGGGCAGAGACAAGGGACCCTCCCTCCTATCAGACAGTAAAAGACTTGACAGGCTGTTGCTGTTTTAGAAATAGCTCCAAAGTATAGCTGCAGATTTCAGCAGATTCATAAATCACACTCTATGCTTTTCAGAACATCTGGGAAGATTAATAAAAAGTGATCATCTCATGAAAATCATGGAATCATCGGCTTTAATACACTCGTTAATACACTCCTACAGACTTGGTACTCTCGCCTTGACTCCTCTCTCCACTCTGATCCTCTCCTCCACCTTCCACTTGTGGCTGAGAACTAGGCCTTCTCTCACTCAGTATCTTCAGTAACATGAATTCACTTTTTTTCCCGTATTGGAAGAACTAATGTCTGTAGTGTTTCACCTCCGTCCTTGCGTTTCTCCTCATCCCGAACTCTCTTTTTAAAATAATCTGTGATTTGAGACATTTCTGCAAAAAAAAATATACACGTTGGGATGTAACGTTGACTTGTTTCCAAAACACTGTTTGTACAACTGATGAGATCTGCTCTCAACAGACTAGACCACAGTCTGGGAAGTATATCCTATTTACTGTCACAACTTTCAACTTTCAGGGTTTTTCATTAGCTTGGCTCAGTCCTGTGAGTTAGCTCAGCTTCATGATCAGTGATGTTCTTTAATAAAAAAAATTCTGATCAACCAGATGTGGACAGATTCTGCTGATGAGTTTTAAATACAAGAGGGAGGAGCACTACACATGCTCTATATGAGTTAAAAATAGAGAGATGTGTGTAGGACACTCACGATGCCCTAACTGAAATAGTGTATATGTGGTTGCGGTGTGTCGCGTATGTGTGTAGTGTGTTTGAACTGTTGTGGTTCTCGCGTGTGTGTGTTCTGGAGTAGATGGAGAAGTGTTTCACCTTAAAGAAGACAGCAGAGACCTCATCTTCAGTGTTTGACCAAGATATTAGCAACTATGGGTTAAGAGAGAATGTAACACAGTTAACATGTAAAACTTGCAAACTGATCAAGAGCAGAACAGACCAGAAGGAACATCCTCGAGTCAAAGAAATGGGCAAACTTCATAAAACACTACTGTGCAGGTAAGTAATCAACGCTCTCTCTCTCGCGGGGTAGTTAGAACCAGTGGCATTGATTCGGGACCGGCTTGCTACACCACTCACAAACGGAATGCACACCCGAGAGGAGAGTAATCTGGACTGATGGAGCCGTGCGACGCACCGCAGGCGTTGGCGCTGGTGCAGGCTTGGAAAGCACAGGTTCACCCTTCTTTGGAGGAACGACAACACACGCACTCAATCTTTGCCCAAGCTTCAGTTATCTCACCACTGAGAGTCGGGGCCATGTGATTGGTGTTTATCAATGACATAATAAATGACGTTGTGTTTCCCTCTGACATTTTTGTCAGAATCAAAGTACAAGAACAGACCTGGCAAGTAAGCTGGTGAACACAAACAAGATGCCACCCGTGCCAGCTCAGCTCAGGAGACAAACAGAGAGTGGATGCACCATGACACTGGCTTACACTTTAGCTTACTGTTATTTACTGACCCACTCGAACCTTATAGAGATTCACCTGATTGTTTTCTTGGCAGTACTCATGTTTGCTGCCAGTTTTTTTTCTTTCCTGTGACCAAGAAGGAAAAGCCATTGCACATACTTCCATCCTATAACTCAAACGTTGTTAATACTAGGCACCCTGCACCCCCACCCCCATATTCCAAAGAAATTGCCTATATGACCTGGTAGACACTAAAAACGGGAATTTGTAGTTTGGACTGATGATGCTAACCACAATTGTAAGTTGGTCAAAGTATGAAAGATCCATTTGCCTTGTTATATTTTTCTGCCAACTATCATAGCCGTGATAACCTTGATACCATTCACATTCCTGACCATCACCTTTGTCAGTAATTTATTCTTTTACTTTAAAATACCAGGGCAAGAACCCAGGACCACAGAACCTTGTTAAAATATCAAATGGTAACCAAAAACCTTGACACATATATCCTGTCAAATCTGAATTACCTATGACAACATTGTGTCAACTAATAATTAAACAACAAGCCTGCATAAGACGATAGCAGGTGGTTCAAAAATCATCAGGTTTCGATGGACAGCTCTAACCCGCCACATCATTGCCACCACATGATATTCAGGAGGAAACTACGCAGGAACTGAGTGAGAGAAAGAATCAAAATGGAAACAGTGATAATGACATTATTATATCGAGAATGAAACCAGCAGTGAAGGACAGCATCTTTGTCTTCACACTACAGCCTCCTCCTACACCGCATGCCCTACATGCTGAAACAACTGGCCAAGTACATTTAAAAATCCTCTGACATAATGCTCACTGCTGCCACAGCCTAACAGGTGACACGCAACAAAATAGGATTTTAGACCTCCTGTTCAGTAGCAAGGATTGTCACAATCAATAAAAGCAAGTTTTCATGCCAGCTGTCGAGACTTACCTTGGCCACTTTGTGATTGGGCCTGCCTGTCTCATGTGAGGTATCTTCAGGACCCTCTTCTGAGCTGAGTGAATAAAGAGTTTCGTAGCCCCTCTGTGTTTGCCGACACGTCAGATCTTTTCCTGAACAGGCTGGACAGTCTGCAGCTGCTGGGCTAGTTAACAACACATACCAAAGTAATCTACGACACCCATAGCTTATAGATGAACACCACACACAACGTATTATATATATATATATATAGTATATATATATATATTATATTTGATTGCACTATTGGCGTTACCATCGGTATGATGTCATTTTAGTCATGCAGTCCACATAGAAGAGTTGCCTTTCTCAGTCTGTATTTTTTCATTTGGGTCAGAGGGTCATGAAGGCATAGCTGGTTGTGATTGGACGTGCTCTCCTAAATGTCAGTGTCAAGCAGCTGTTGTTCACTTACATTCTGTATTTTAACAATGCAGCTGTCTTTGTTGGTCCTCATGTCAGAGGATTTTATTATGGATTAACCACCACAGCTAAAAGAAGACAATCTGCTTCCTGTTAACACCGGCTCCGCACATGCTCAGTGTATGTGAATGGTCATGGTATGGTATGTGTTTTCAGGTGTGTTTAGTCTGGACAGAGAGTTGTTTTAATTTTAAAAACAGTTTTAAAAATGGAAAACCGCAGTTAGTGTGGGCACAGTAGCCTCAAGGTAGGCACTGTTGGTTTTTGTGGTGTAACAGAAACAGCTGGATAAGTAGAAAACGGCACAGATCAGTGTGTAGCAGGCCTCATACAACTCTGAAGAGGACAAGTAACTAACTTGGGCTATGTTAGGACGAACAAGATCTATCAATGTATCTCATGTCTAAATATGTAAATTCTAT